CGGGTCACACACACACTCATGCCGACAAGCACTCAGACAGGCACGCAAGTCAACAGGCACGCACACATACAGACTTAGAAAACACAGCAGAATGCAGGAATCTTGGCAAGGCATCCACTCCATCGGCAGAACTTCAGAAATCAGCAGTGTTCTCAGTCTGTGTTATGGCGGGTCATTACACTACCCCCCCCCTCAAGAGCGAGGTCCCTTTGAGCGAGTAACTCAATCAGAGTCCTTGCATAATGCATCATAAGCATAAATAGCAAAGAGAGACCGGGTATGTTCCGTAGGAGTGAGGGTAGCAGTGAATTTAGGCTGCTGTTCGGAACTAATCAGTCGTTCATATGCGTTGACGACTCGCGGGGCACGCTGCAGCAAATCTTTCTTAGCGATCCAGTAAAAGTCATTCAACAGGTGGTACAGAAAATGGACTTTGTACTGTCTGTTTCTTCCCTTCCACTGTGCTCGACAATCCTATCAACCTCGTGACCGCTATTGATTGCGCGTTCTCGATACGGAAAAGTTTCAGGTGGTTCATACGGAAACAACTTCGATGCATGAAAGATTGGGTACGTGCGCAGATGAGTAGGCACATCGGTCGTGTAAGAAGGACCAAAGGAATCATCTCCTACTTGATTCAGCACCTTCCACGGACCGTAGTACTGAGGAAGAAGCTTCCGTGATACACCTTCTTCTTCAGAAAACTCAGACATCTTGACCCAGACATAACTTCCCACTGTGAAAGGGTCAGGCTGGCGCTTTTTATTTGCATGCTTAATCATGGCACTGCGTCGCTTTTCCATGGCTGCGACAGCAACTTTGAGCAAACGTTCAAACTTAGCGATGTAGCCTGGTTGGCCAGGTGTCAGGCAGGTGGCTGGTCAGGAAACAAATGGGATAGGGGATTGCGAATCTGCCAACCGAGGTGCAGCCGATTAGGTGTCATCTCGGTGGAGGAGCGTATGGAGTTGTTATACAATCCCTGCACATTCGGCAATTCCTCATCCCAAGAGTTATGATCAGGCACAATTAGAGCTCGAAGAAGTTGGATCACAGTCTGGTTGACCTCCTCAGCCAGTCCGTTGGCTTCGAGATGTCGGCCAGACGTCATCTTGAGTTTGATGTCGTAGATCTGGGAGGTGAAGTCCTTCCAATCTGCACTTATGAACCTAGTGTCCCGGTCACTCACAAGAGTTTTCGGGGGCCCACATTGCAGAATGTACCGTTTGTGGAATTCCTTGATCACCAGGTCAGTTGGGGCGTGAGGTGGTAATGGAATCAGATTTAGAAACGTTGAAAAGCGGTCAATGATCACCATCACTTGTGAATATTCATTTCTGCTCTTCTTCCCCATGTCCATGAAGTCGATGGAAAGAGACTCGCCCGGGCCATCAGGAATCGGAAGAGGATGCAGCAGCCCATAGGGCTTCTGCCGAGACGGTTTGATGCGTTGACAGACTTCACCCTCAGCCACAAACTTTCGTGCCATTCCTTTCATTCCAGGCCATACAAACTTTTGCAGCAGACTTTCGTATGTCTTTTCAAAACAGAAGTGTCCGCTCCGACCATGAGCCAAGTCCACGAGGTGAGTAAGGATCGGCTCTTGGTTGGGTACACACAGTCGGTCATGCTTCCTGTAACGTCTGAAAAGTAAGCCTTTACATTCATGGAAATGAGGCTGACTGCTAGGGTCAGCCCGAATCTGCTCAAGGATGGGACTGAGTTTCGGGTCTTGGCAGTGTGCTCAATGAGTTCCTCCTTCAAACTCTTATGGAGATCATAGAACCCCACAAGGCAAGTCATGTACTCAGGATGGCGTGACAAAGCATTCGCAACGCGATTGTAACAACCTTTCTTGTGCTTAAGTTCAAAATCATACACATCAATCTCATGCAGCCAGCGGGTCAATGTGGTTGATGGATTAATCTGTGTCTGAATCCATTTCAAAGTCTCGTGATCTGAGAACACTTTGAAATGACGACCCAAGAGGTAGTGTTTCCAATGATCTAGTGCCTGTCTCAAGGCGTAGAGTTCTCACATGTAAGTGGAGGCAGCTACCTTGTGACTGGGCATGCGTTTGCTGTAATATTCAAGCGGACGTAAGCCATCACCGTCATCTTGCTGCAACACTGCACCAATCACATACAAGCTTGCATCCGTAGTTACTACGAATGTAACTACGGATGCAAGCTTGGGATCTGCAATGCGGAGCACCGGATGACTCACCAAAGCTTCCTTCAATGCTTGGAAGGTTGTTGTGCATTCCTCATCCCATGTGTAAGACACATTCTTACTTGTCAACTTGGACAGCGGGCGGGCGATGATAGAGAATTTGGGTACAGACTTACGGTAATATGACGCAAGACCAAGAAAAGAACGCAACTCAAAGACATTGGCCGGTTGAGGCCAGTTGCGGATGACCTCAACTTTGGTTGCCTCGGGCTCTAGGCCTGTAGCAGACAACCGATGTCCAAGGTAGATGACGCTGTCCCTCCCAAACTCAGATTTCTCCAAGTTGAGATGGAGTTGCGCATCCTTGAGGATCTGTAACACTTCCTCAAGGTGTCTCATGTGCTCCTCCATCGACTTGCTGAAGATTAATATATCATCCAGATAAACAACAACAAAGCGATTGATCTGATTGCGGAAAACCTTGTCCATGAGACTTTGAAAGGTGGCCGGTGCATTCGTGAGACCGAAGGGCATGACGGTAAATTCGTACAACCCGTCGCGAGTTTTGAATGCAGTTTTGTGTTGGTTCGCAGGGTCGACTTCAATCTGGTGGTAGCCAGACTTGAGATCGATCTTGCTGAAGACCTTGCACCCATCGGCAACATCAAGCAAATCATCAATACGCGATAAAGGGTATGCATTCTTTCTTGTTATTTTATTCAGTCCGCGGT